ATCACCGGCTGCGTCGCTACAACACACACCCGACTCTCCTTGGAAAGAAGTGTGCCCTTCCTAGAGTGCCGTAAGAGGCTTGGACACAAATAATGGAGACAAGTCTCTTCAAAAAGACCTCCTTGCCTTTGGATGATGGGACATAATTCATTGTCCCCAAGAACTAGGTCCCTCATCCGGACTGGCTAAAGGACGAGGCGTTCCTTTCCGCTTGCGGCCTTAGCACAATGTTTAGCAGACATATGTTGATTGTTAACTGGCACTTTATGCCGTCTGTATCATACTTGAATTGGTTTTGACTGATTTTTCTTCCTTGTAGAGAAAGGATTAGAGATGGTGTCTCCTGAAAAGACACCGGCTAAATATGCTGCAGAGATCCGGAAGGATCAGTTGGAGAGAAAGAGGGCCTAACTGGCGGCCAAAGATGATGGGGTAAGCGCCGGTTGAGCTCTTTTGCCATCTGTATGGTTTGAAGCTAATTTTGATATTAACCGGCTGTTTTGTTTTCCTTTTCAGACGGGGAGCAAGAATGTTCCTTGTTTTGTAAGACAGATGCTGAAGAGACCGGGAGAAGAGCCCTCCCAGCCTGCTTCCAAATCAAGAAGGGTTCCGGCTGTCCCTGCCTCTACCGGAAAGCCGCCTGTGCCTGAGAGGCCTACCTCAGCAGGCAAAAGCCTGGGGGACCTTGGCCTCAGCACAGGGCCGGCTGAGGTTGAAGCGAGGGAGCCCGAAATTCCCTCAAGCCGGGTGCTTGCTGTAGCATCCGGCTCCAATGCGGCTCGGGGTGGGATGAACCCTCAGCCTGAAAATCAAGGTACGACTCTCACCTTTGTTCCCCCCGGCCACTTGGGCCTATGCGAGTGAAGTCCCAAGCTACCCAATCAGGGGATTCTTCAGGTAGCCGGCAGAATGTAGGTGCCGCCTATGCTTAGTACTTAACCAATAAATCTATTGATGCAGATGCCTCTTTTCGTTGGCCGGACCTCCAAAATTATGCCAAAAGAATGCTGAGGACCCTCACCCGGTCCGAGAAGGAGCCGGTGCTGGGCGTGCACCAGGTCAATATAGACTGCATCAACTCATTGCTCGCTGAGGTAATTGACCGGTTAGGGTGCTTTTGTGCCACTTTATTTTTTCCAGTTGTAGCGTAATTGAAATACTAACCCCTTTTCCGGCTGATTTTGCAGGTGATGCTAAGGGTGGATGGCATGAAGGTCCCCTTGCGGAAAAAGCAAGAGGAGGTAAGGGATGCCAATAGAATGGCAGCCGACCTTATTGATGTTACCCAATAACACCCTTATGTATGAAATCCAAACTAAAAGCCGGGAGATGAAACAGGAAGAGCTAATCAAGGAGCTCACGGCTGCTGCTGACACGGCCAACAAGAAAGCAGCCGACTTTGAACTTCAAGTAAAAAACCTCCAAGCTGATGTCAAAGCATTGGGGGAGGCTGACAAGGAGAATACTGAGCTGCGGGCAGAGGTCAACCGCCTGAAGAATGAGTTGGCCTAGACCCAGGCGAACCATAAGGGGAAGCTGGACGCTGAACAAAACTGGCTGATTGCCGAGAATGAGCGCGATTATGAAGAGCGCATGAAGATGGCCTGGTCTATGATCCATCCGGACACCGACTGGGCTTTCTTTGACCTGCGGTACAAGTACGCCACTGAGGTGTTCGATGCCCAAGTTCTCGGAACAAAGAAGCCGACTCCCTTTGAAGAATGGGTCGGCATTGCCGAGGAGGAAGAGGAGGAGCAGACGGAAGATCAAGTGCTGGGTGAGGCTAATGAAGCTCAAGCCCAGCAAAATCAAGACGCTCCTCCTTCCAGCCAGGGCTAGCCGTCTCAGCGTCAACAACAGCAGCAACAGTAACTTGATTTGTTTCTTTTTTTCTACTTCCGGCCTGCGAGCCGTGTACTTTAGATGTATCTCCTTTCCCCGGGCATAGGCTTGGCTAACAATCATTTCTTATCAATATATTTTTCCGACTGAGTTGGTTTTGCCTTTGATGTTATTTGCTTCAATTTTTGCAATTTTTGCTCGTACAAATCTTTTTCCTTTTGCAATTTGATTCGGTACGTGCGATATGCCGGATGCATTGGCTCTGCCTGCACCTGGAAGGTTGTTTGCTTAATATACCCAACTCTAAGCAGGCAGCCGTCCAAACAAGCATCCGGACGGATAGATAGGCGGTCATTGACCATATTTAAAGAAGTAGAATTATTCTAAGTTGGATTAGCAGACGGTGCCGGCTAGGGCCAACCTAGACTTTTCTTTTAACCGGCTGCAGGTTACCCTTTAGGTATCCGTCATTGCCGGTTGCTGGGATGCAGGCAGCCAATGGCCGGGCGTATGCATCATACCCAACTTGTGAATTAATTGCTAAGGTTTTGACCTTGCTTAATTTGGGTTTGTAACCGGCTGTAGTGCTTTTGGGTAAAGACCGGTTACATTCGACCAAGATTTGAGTTACCGTCTGTGTTGCTTTCAAGCAACGATCGGTTGTATCTTGGTTCCAATGAACCATGCAAACGGCCATGAGTTAAATTTTTAATAATATTTCATTAAAGATATTAATGGTCAAATTCGTGTATCTACAAATGTAATAGTCAAAGTGATTCATATAAAAGGTAGAGGAAATACTATAATTATTGTTATGAAGAATTATATTAAGACATATATGTCAATTGAGGGTTTTTGTAAATTAATTGTTTTTCAAAATTTGGATTATCATAAATCATAATCTTGTTTAATATAAAGTTAATTTATGTAATTTATGCTTAATTTTGAAAAATTAATTCGATTTGAAAAATGGATAAACCTAATGGAAAAACTATGAGATATAATTGATACTTATTCACTAACTTGATTATGAGTTGTAAATCTAGTGATAAATCTAGCATTTTTGTAAGTGGGTTTAAATCAAGAAATAAATTATATTAAAATTATTTATAAATTAACAAAATTAAAGTTTTGGTAAACTTTTGAGGAACTTTGGCATACGTGTTAAGAAGAGTGGGAGATAAAAGTTAAGAATAAGTAGTTGAAGCTTTCAAGAGGTACTTATATCTAGGTTTATCAGTCTTATTGAATGCAAGCGTAATTCCAATACAATTTGTTTTATCAATCCTATCCACCCTATGGATTACATGATAAAATTGCGGCTCATAAAGAATATCTTAAATCCAAGGGTATTAAGATCAACTAACACAGACACTTTTAGTTTCAATCATTGTTCAACTAATCTGACAAATTGACGACATTCATATGTCGATTATCAAGAACCTATTATCATATAACACATGAATATCGACGATGAAAATTAGCAGAGGAAAGTAATTTATATATAGAGTTGGGGTTCGATAAGAAGTACGCTTATTGTGAGAAGGTGAGAAATAGGAAACATTAAATTTATATTATAAATATATTTTAAATGCATTAAAGATACATCATAAATAAATTATAGATACATCAAATATAGATTATTAGTATATTATATATGCATTTTCATAAATACATACATTAAAGATATATTTTAGATACATTTAAAATTCATTGTAGATAGGTAGATAGGTTTACCTCCTTATTTTATCGGTGACGATACACAAAGAGTACGATATGATGAATAACGCAATAATTGACTCTAAATTAACAACCTTCGAACGCCATTGAATAGACAAATGTCAGGAATTTATTTTTCTTTAGTTGTATTATTGTATGCAAAGGTTTATATATACAACCTAAAACTATGACTAGGCCGTTAACATTGGCCCTTTAGATAAATATAATAAATATACAATATTAGGGCTTAACTCTCCCTCAAGTTGGAGCATGCAAATCACAAATGCCCAACTTACCAAGTAAATACAAAAAATTGGTTTTTGCTTAAGGCCTTAGTGAATATATCCGTGAGTTGATCAGTTGTCTTCACATAAGACGGACTAATAACCCCTTCCTGAATTGCATCCCTAACATAATGATAATCAACCTTAATATGCTTAGTGCGTTCATGAAAGACCGAATTCTACGCAATATATACCGCTGATTGACCATCACAAAACAAGCTCATCGCACGTGGATGCGAGACTCCCAAACTGTCAAGGAGCGCCTTCAACCATTTTAACTCTGAAGTAATTGTCGACATTGAACGATACTCTGCCTCTACAGAAGACTTAGAAACAATATGTTGTTTCTTGGTCTTCCAAGAAATCGGGGAACCACCAAGAAACACCAACCAACCAAAAAATCGATCGTCTCGTCAAAGGACAACTAAACCAATCCGAGTCACACCAACCTGTCAAATGTAGATCGCAATCTGAAATCAAAAGGATCCCTTGACCCGGAAAACCTTTCAAGTAGCGAACCGTTTGAAGTGTTGCCTCCCAATGATCTCGATGAGGTTGTTGCATGAATTGAGATAATATATGAACAGTATACGCCAAATCAGGTCTAGTGAAAGACAAATAAATCAAACGACCTACAAGCCGGAGATACATTTCGGGGTCATTAATAAGGGGTGTCTCCGATTTGGCCAAAGTATGATTTAACTCTATCAGAGTGCTAGCCGGTAGTGCCCCTAGTAAACTAGATTCTGTAATAATATCAAGAGTGTATTTCCGTTGACATAAAAATATCCCTTCCAGACTTCGTGTAACTTCAATACCAAGAAAGTCTTTCATATGAAAACAAACACTAAAATATGACTTGAATGATGAAATCGCAGAAGAATCATTCCTGGAAATTATCAAATCATCAACATACACAAGAACACTAAGATGAATAGCCCCATGATTCAGGGTGAATAGAGAGTAATTAGAGTACAATTGCAAAAATCGTACCTTTTTAGAGAGCCGGCCAACTTAGAAAACCAACAACGAGGTGCTTGTCGTAGACCATATAAAGAATTCTTAAGGCGGCACACCATGTGATGTTGGGTACCATGGAATCCGGGAGGGGGATTCATATATCCTTCCTCATCGACGTATCCGTGAAGGAAAGCATTATGGACATCCATTTGGTGCAATTCCCAATTTTTTCGCAGCAGCAACAGCCAGAAAAGCAGGAATGGTGACCATTTTAGCCACGGGAGCAAATGTCTCAATATAATCGATACCTTCAACCAGATGATTACCGAATATAAAAAGACGAGCCTTCAATTTTTCAATTGTCCCATCGAAATTAAGTTTGACCTTGTAAACCCATCTGCACCCGAGAGCTTTCTTTCCCGCAGGTAATTCTTCCATTATCCAAGTTTCATTATCTTCCAAGGCGGATATTTCTTTTTGCATCGCCTCTCTCCACCCCTCATCTTGCATAGCCTCTTTGAAATTACGAGGCTCAACTACCGTATCTACAGCTGCAATAAAAGCACGGTGTCGCAAGGAGAATTTATCATAATTTACAAAATTTGTTAAAGAATAGGGAGTACCTGAGGAGCATGGAGTAGACCATGAACTTTGAGAAGTAGATGGACTCAAGATAGAGATAGTATGTGCGATATAACCACGGTGCCAACCCGAAGGGTGTCGTTCTCGAAGACCACGATCTAATTCTAGAGTAACAGAGCTGCTAGGAGATTCCGGTGCAGCCTCGGAGCTGCTGTCCGGTCTGTGACCAATGACAGGGGCAGTAGGTACAGTAGGAGGGATGTGTGAGGTGCTGGGTGCCGCAATATGCCTGCGGTCAGATGCACCAGCAGCCTGGGAAGCAGGTGCTGCCGTGGGGGAGCTGCGGTATGGGCTATGTGTCGCAGGTGACCTACGGTCCAGATTGTCGTGAGTGCCGAGTGTGAGAGCATCTTCTCCCACCTCTAAAATATGCTCTAGAACGTCAAGAAAATCAAGGTCGACTCCAGCATTATGATTAGAAATATCATCAGTATCAACTTGAGTGGCGTTCGAGGCATTATCAAGTTCAAACGGAAATTCATTTTCATGAAACTTGACGTTTCGTGAGACAAAAATTTCACCTTTTTCAAGATCATATAATTTCCAACCCTTCTTGCCATGAGGGTAACCCACAAATACACATTTTCGACTACGAGGTGCAAATTTAACACCCTTAGCCTTTTGGTTATGAACGAAACAAAGAGAACCAAACACCCGTAACTCATCAAAATTGGGCTCTTTGCCAAATAAAATCTCATAAGGTGTTTTATTAGCCAATAGATGAGAAGGAGTACGATTAATTAAACACACTGCCCCAAGAACACATTCACCCCAAAAACCAATCGGAAGATTGCCTTGAAACATCAAAGCATGACTTACATTCAAGATATGTTGATGCTTACGCTCAACACGGCCATTTTGTTGTGGAGTACCAACACAAGAAGTTTGAAAAAGAATGCCATGTTCATTAACATATGAGAGCATATGTTTGAATTTTGTACCATTGTCACTCCGCACACACTTGACAGTCACATCAAATTGACATTTAATCATAGCAAAGAAAGAGCAAAAAGAAGAGTAAACTTCAGTTTTGTCACTCGACAAATAAACCCAAACACCTCTCGAAATATCATCAACAATAATATAAAAATAATGAGCATTACAAGTAGAAGATGTCTTATATGACCCCCACAAGTCACAATGTATCAATTCAAAAATACGACTAGCCCTACTATCACTATTAGGAAAACTATCCCGTGATAGTTTAGCTTGCGGAAAAACTTGACATGCTTTATTCAAAGATTTGCTACCAGAACTAGTACTAATAGCAGGTACTAACTTGATAATTCTATCCGATGGATGCCCCATACGACGATGCCATAGTTCGAATGTAGAAACCTTCAGATCTGTCATTGCACATACTTTAGGAATTCGCCGAAAATAACAGAGTCCATCTATTCGTTCACCGCCTCCAATCAGGCTCCCCGAGTGTTGGTCCTGTATAGCACATAAAGAGTAAGTGAATCGGACAAAACAATGCGAATCATCAATCATTTTAGACACCGAAATTAAATTGCATTTCAACTTGGGAACAAATAAAACATGTGCAAGAGTAATTCCGTCAACCAAATACACACGCCCTTCCTTCGTTGCTACGACCTGTGCACCATCCGGAAGACCAACAGGGCAAGGAGAAATAGATTGCACATCAGTGAGGTACGACTCATCTCTTGTCACATGAGAGGCGCCCGTGTCGATATTCCAAGATAGAGAAAAATACTCACCAATCATCTTATCTTGCTGACGATGATTAATTATATTTAATAAAATTTTAACATGTTCCGGTTGGAGTTCGGACAGAGCAGAGAGAACAGGGGTATTATCCTGACTTGAAGAAGAGGAATCACTCGCTATGCTGCCTACAGCATTGGCACGCACAACTGGACTGGGATGAGCAGGAGCAGCAGTAGACGGGTTAGGCTTGCTGCAATCAGATGTGGGGGGCTGAGAACCATTAGACGAGGCTCCCCCCTTCTTCCCGTATTTCTCCAGCCACTAGTTGGGATAGCCATGCAACATAAAACAACCTACGTTGTCATGGCCGGTACGCTGACAGTGAGTACAAGACAATTTGGACTTATCGCAGTGAGGCAAAAAATCCATTGATCGATCCGCGGGAGGGGCAAACACGTGAGCATCGTCCTTCGCCTTTTGAACCTTGTCTTGAGCAATTTCGCGAGAACGTTCCTCCTAGAGGAACGCTTGATATGCTATGTCTAGAGTCGTGGGAGGCTGCTTTGACAAAAGGTTAGTCCTCACCACTGCATATTTTTCGTCATCGATACCAATTAGAAATTAGTGCAATTTCTCCTTTTCCCTATCAAACTCATACTTTGCAGCAACATTGCACGCACAAGACCCAGATTCACATCCATTGGGAGGCTTGAGGCAAAGGAGATCATCATAGAATTCTATCAAAGTAGTATAATAATCTTCAACCGTCATGGTCGGAGATTGTTTACAATTCGTTTTGCATAGCGCAATTGTTGGAGATGAGGGCCATTTGCTGTAACACCCCCAAATCTCCCTCTACGGAAATACCATTATAATACGTATAATTATATCGTAGAGATAGAGTTAGGCACATTACTGCCGCATGATTACGCAAGGCTACTCAAAACTACTAACTCAACCAAAACTTAGCAGCGGAAACTCAAACTCTTTCTTTATTAATAAATAATATAAATAGAAATCATTTTCGTGAGTACTAAAAAATAGAAACAAAGACCAACATTCCTAGATCTAGGTGAAGCATATCCCGAGACTCCAAAATGCTCATATATTGACTCCACCTGAAAATAATCAATACTGCTTACCACTATGGTAAATAGGGCGAGCCAAAACAAATAGGAAATACGGATTAGCAAACATGCTTTTAAAACTAATTCCAATAGTTAATCCAATAATTCCAAACTCATTATTCAAAACCAATTCCAATAATTCAATAATTCGATAAAACGATTAATAAAACCAATTCCTCTTTTAAATCCAATTCCTCACCCAAGTGTGCACCCCTCAAGCTAGTGTCTTTATATTGAAAGGTTATCCTTAAGGAAAGACTCGGTCATACAAAGTCCAAAGTCTTATCAACCAAATTCGCATAGTGGGATTACTATAATCATGCTTGTAAAGCTTAAATAATAATAATTCAACAAAACCTCTTTAATTCAATAATTCCAATCTTTATAATAAACATCTCAAAACTCATTTTTATTTAAATCAACATGCTTTCAAAATCAACCTTTTAAAACATGATAAACAATTTAATCATTCAAAACATGATAAAAATCATTCCTTCACACTTATTTATTAAAACCAATTATTTAAACATACTTTATTTCATAAACCATAATTTAATTCAATGTAATTCAATCATCAGAAAAATTATATAAAACATGCTTATTCAATCCAATCAATTTCGAAAGTATCTAGCCACCTAAACGTACCTTGATCCTTGCTTAGAAATACACAAAAAAGAACTTCAAGAACTCTTGTCAAACACACCCTACAAATAAAATAACCTTAATCAATATAAGGTTAACAAATAATCACAACAATTAAAATAAAAACCCCCAACTATATGTACATGAACCTTATAAATTTATTTTTCATAAACTAATTTTATTTAATTAAAAATACTCATTATAATTTTTTATAAAACCCCCATAATAATAATAATAATAATATAATTAATTAAGAGAAGAGAAGAAGAAGAGGTAGTAAACCAAGGAAGAGGAGAAGAAGAGGTGGCGTCAAGGGCGGCAGCCGTTTGGCAGGTTGCTGCTGGTGGCCGGCGGTGGTGGCTAACGTCAGCGGCTGGCCGGGGAAGGTGGCAGTCGGCGGTGGAGGTGGTGTTTGGTGGTGGTGGTCATGTAAGAACAAGAGAAAGAGAGGAGAGAATTAGAGAGAGATTAAGAGAGAAATTAGAGAATTTTGGTGTGAATGTTTACCTATGATTCAAGGGGTATTTACAGGCTAGCTCATGCAAGAATTATGGTAATTTTGGTTTAAGGAATTACTTGGAAAGGTGAGCTAAAGAATTAAGGAAAGTTTAGTTTTATAGTGATTAAGGAATAATTAACTATGAAAGTATGTTGTCATGAAAAATAATGTGGTAAATGGCTTTGCTTGGGAAATAATCAAGAATGATTTAAGGTAGGAAAAATATTATCAAATGTTTAGGAGATGGAAAATAAGAATTAAGGAAAAAAATAGAATTAAGGAAGATAATTAAAAATACAAACTACCAAAATAAATTGCTCAAAATCAATCCAAGGTGGCCGAAAATTTTGAGCTTTCCTAAGCTCAAATTTTCGGACCTCTAGTCTAGATTTTAGGAAGTTAATTTGCTAGATTTTAAGGATTGAAAATGATTGTGTAAATAATATATATTGTATAAAATAATTAATTAAGAAAATAACAATTATTCACTAAATAAATTAACTAAGAAAAATCAGATTTTCCACACTAGGAAAATCCGAAATTCATAGCTTATTAATTAGGAATTTTCAAACCTTTTTAATGAATAATAAAATATAATTTTACTTAATTAAAATATTCGAAATATATATAATTTGGTTTTTAAATAAAATAAGTGGATAATAATTCTTATCTAAAATCCAAAAGTAATAATTAAGTTTTAAAATTCTTTTGGCGCCAAAATTCAAATATCATTTTCGCTCCAAAATTTCAAATAGTAAAATAATTTACTAAAATACCCCTTTTTAGAAAATATTAATTAATCAATTAATTAGGAAATACGTTTCAAAAATACGAGGTATTACACTTGCTTCACATAACCTCTTCTCCAAATAGTCCAAAACTTCTTTGCTTCTTCAAAATAGGGTATTGACACCGCAAGTTTAGGTTCAATAGCCCGTAATATCCAAGACACCAGCATGGAATTCACCGTTTCCCAATCGAGCATCTTCTTCTTCTCAGACGGTTTGGAGATGGTTCCATCCACAAACCCATATTTTTGCCTAGATTTCAAAACAAAGTGATTGCCCTAGACCAAGCGAGATAATTATCACCCTTCAAGACCACGCGTGTGATCAGATTTCCAGGTTGATCCCCTGCGCCTAGGTAGAAAGGAGAGGACAGATCGATCTTGCCATCATCACCCATAGCGAGTAGTAGAGAAAAAAAATTGAGTTTTTAGTGTTTAGGGTTTTTAGAGTATAGAGGCTCCAATACCATGTCAGGAATTGATTTTTCCTTAGTTGTAATACTCTATGCAAAGGTTTATATATACAACCTAAAACTATGAGTAGGCTGTTAACCCTTGGCCCATTAGCTAAATACGATAAAATACAATATTAGGGCTTAACAACAAAAATATGCAAATTCTTCTAAAATTCCTTGATAATCATAACTTAATGTAATATTAAGCCAATTAATTAGAGGAAAAATAATAACTAAAACAACTGAAATATAGTAAATTTATTCATTATTATTATCTTTAAATATTAGTTATTATTATTATTAAATACTAAATATATTAAACATTAATTATATTATTATTATTAATTATTATTTTTGAGCAGAGCAAGACTTAACAGAGCAGTGCAGTGTAGTGCAGAGCAGAGCAGCTCAAAAGAACAGGGCCTAAATCTACTACAAGAACCTTTGCCCTAACGAAATTTTAATATTTGTTGAAAAATGCAATTGGACATATACTTCATAATTAAAATCGAAGGAAAATAGGACAGAAAAAGGGAATCAGTCGATGGACCTTACTTGGATGGATTTTGACCGGAATCCATTACATGGTACCCCCTCCGTTTCTTTAAGATCCCCATTGGAATGTGCGCGGAGTTTTAGATAAAAAAAGTAATAAAATAATAATAAAAAAAAAGTAGTGTAAGTGGGATTGGTAGGAGAGAGAAATAATAAAATATTTATGAAAGTTGGGTTAGTAAGAGAGATAATTAATAAAATAATTGTGGGTCCTTAATAGATAAAGAAGTGATGTTATTATTATGAAACGGATATAAAAGAAAAGTGTTGCGATTATTACGTAACGGAGAAGGTAAGTGGATATGGTTGAGAATAATTTTTTTGGAAAATTAAGAGAGAGAAATATAAATGGGGGACCACTAGGTATAATATTAGAGTCATAATTATTATAAAATGATAATGAGGTCAAAATGAAGAGAGGAAAATAATATATAATGTGAGTGGGGTTTTTAAATTTGGTAATGAAGCACTTAAATAAAAACGGCCGTTTTTAGGAAGTGAGACACTTAAAAAAAAAAAAAAAAAGGAGGGAGTACTCCGTAGTAAATATTGAAGTTTTGGAAAGTATTAGGGTGGCTAACACACGCGATGCGCGAGTCATAGCTAGCCATTTTCGGAGAGTTCTTTTAGTTGTTGGCAACTGTAAAACATGTAAGCAAATATTTTTAGGGTTATAAATATCTATACACTATTATTAAAAAAAAATTTTTAAAAAAAGAAGGCAATTAACGTTTGAGGGTAAATAAACATTTTAGAGGGTAAAATTGTCCAAACACTATTCATAAGAATTAAATCAATGAATCATACAAGGAAAAGCTTAAGGGCAATTAACATCATATTCATAGGGGCATGTAAGTAAACAAACATTTTAAAGGATGTAATTGTCCTCACACTATTCATAAGTGTTTTCTCATACTTTTTAAAATGTAGGGATAGATAATATAATTTTGATTTGGAAAGTAAAACAAAGCGTTTAAACCAGGGTGTACCATGAGCCCCTGGTGTATTATGTAAATTTCATGGAAAGTAAAAGGTGGTAAAACTTAAACCGACTAAAATCATAGGTGGTAAAAAAGTTAAAATATTCGTATCAATTACATTATACTAAAGGCGAAACTTAGCGAGACACTTGGCAACATATATAAAAAGTTTTCCCCCCCAAAATAAATTACTTACTAAAAAAAAACTTATGTTACATAAAAATAAGGTTTGTATCGATATTATGACTTTTATTTTACACAATTTTTTTGTATGCGACTTGCTGTACCATGTGGCCTACTTACAAAAACCCTCATTTCTAACCCCGTTTTCCGTTATTTTAAAGCCAAAAATAACGGACCCCCATTTAAAGCCTTTTTTTTGTTTTCCCACTTCTCACTCCTCGTTGTATTTCCCTTCTCATGCTTTTCTCTCTCCTACCTTCTATGAGGATGAGTTCTCTCTCAGGACGATTGGTACAACATACAAACAAATTCATGCAAGAAATTTACACAAAGAGCAAGTAATTTGAAAACACCCAAATCGATTTTTGGGGTTTTTACGTGCGATTTTCGGCAAAACTCTCAAGCAATTCCGCAACAAAAGCATATAAATGGGGTTGTTGGGATTCTGGGTTGATTAGGTGTAGTTGGGGTTTTTCGTCGTCGTCGTCGTCTTCTTCTTCGGCGCCGTTGGAGTAGCTTCGAAGGAGATCTATTAAAGAAGAA